ACGTCTGCGTCACCTGCCTGAGTCTAGCACACCAGACGTGTTCGGTCTCAGTGTCGGATGCGTCCGGTCACCCCATGACCAGCATGATCAACTCCTGTTCTTCACCAACTTCAACTCCTTTGCAAATGTGCCAACACCACCAAGTGCAAGTGTGTTGGCATTTTCACAAATATTTTTCAAAGGATTAGTCACTCAACTTGCCACGCCACTCGATCCTAGCAATGATGCAAAGTTAGATCACTCGAGTGGCACTAGATGACTGATATGCTCCTCTTGATAGTACGGTCATCTATCCTAAACTCGGTCATCAATTTCTCTACACGCCTATGACCGGTGAAATAAAATGCCCTAGGTTATACCTTTGCCTTGCGCATTCCATTCTATCTCCTTTGATGTCGATGCAACATATGCACCAATCAATCACCAAATGCTATGATCCACTTCATATCATCATATGACCGTATTGGTTCATCGATCTTGACTTCACTTGCTCTTCACCGTTGCTTCGGTCCATTGGCGCCAAGTCTTCACTCAACTTGCCCTTCATACTTGCAACCGGTCCGTCGAGCCAAGTTTTGTCTTGATCTTCTCCACCTTGATCACATGACTCAATGACATGTCTCATGCAATGAGCTCCTTCATCACATGTGTGAGCTTTGCAACATCTCTAAGCCATTTCACCTCCATGGCAAAGGTTGCTCTCACATGATGTACCTGTGAACTAATCACCTGTGTATCCCACTCAACCGTATATTAGTCCACCTAAGGTTGTCACTCAATTACCAAAACCAAACAAGGACCTTTCAGTCATGCTCGCTCAAATTCCAACTGGGCCACGATTGCTCGCGCTGTCTGTCGCTGGTCGGCACAGGGCATGCTGCCGACCTAGTCGGACCCTAGACGCCCCTGCTCAGTGACGACTGACGAGGCAGGGAGACGCCAAGAGAGGAGATGGCGAGCGCCGAGCGTGGGCTGGCCGGCTGGGGTACACAAAGGAAAAACAAATGAAGGTGGGCCCATATAACAGGGAGATATGGTTTGTTATTTTACTTTCATTTTCCGTTCATTTATTATTTATTTAGCTTTGGTCCCAGTTTCTAAAAAAATAGCTTTGGTCCCATGCAACATGTTTTTATTGGTTATTATATTCTCTTCGTCTCAAAGTAAGTGCACGTCTCGTATTTTGATAAAATCATCTAATAATTTTAAGTTTAACTAAATTTAGATAAAATAGTATCAGCATTTCTAAATCTAAAAAGTTTTACTGTGAACGATTAATCTAATGATGCTTATTTGATATCATGGATATTATTAGTCTTTTATATTTGGTCAAACCTAAGATCAGATGTCACCTTAATATGCGAAATGTATACTTATTTTTGGATGGATAGAGTATATAGTTTGTGCTAATATATAATTTGACTTAACAAAGGTGATATGGACGTACTATTTCCTCTGGACACCACCGATTGAGGTGTGGAAATGCTCGGCCATGGGTGTTCATGCCGTCAGATGCTCCTCCTAGTCCTCCCTTTCTCATGCGCAGCGAACCAGCCTCTAAAAAAAGAGAGAAAAAATCCCTACTCGGGCTGTGGTGTCCACCTCAGCTGCTTCAAGCCCTCACCACACCGCACCTCTGGCTGACCTCGCCATCGTAAGGTTCCGCATTAGGGCGCTATCTCTTCCCCGTTCCCTCCCTAGCATGAACCGCCTGCTCCAGCGTCTCTCCCACGTGGCCGGGGCCTTCCTGCGCTGCTCCTTCCCGCGAGGCAACTAGCCCCTTCCCTTGCTGCTCCGCACGCCTGCGCCGCACCACCATCCAGCATCGCGCCCCCATCCATCTCGCCCATTGCGGAAGGGGAGGCATGTGCCTGCGTCTGTGCCCCCATCCACCTCACGTCATCGGCAGGAAGGAGAGGCCTACGCCACCACAGTTCCCCACTAGGTAGGTCGTAGCCGCCAGCAATGCTATGCTTTTCAAGTGTTTTCCAGACATGTTGCAAGCCTTTGTTTCTGGTGTTTCATTTGTTTCAGATGTATGTTTCATACGGATGTTGCAAAAGTAGATCGGGATGTTGCACATGTTTTAATGGCTATACACGTATGTTCTAAATGTTTTATCTGTTCTAGATCAATGTTGCAAGTGTTTTATCTAGAAGTTGCAAAAGTAGATTTGGATGTCGCATATACATGCATGTTTCAAGCATACGTTTCAAGTGTTTTTAGGTGTTTCATACGTAGGTTTGCAAGTGTTTCATTTGGATGTTGCATATGTTTACAATGGTTTTCAAATATTTTTCAGACGTTTTTGCAAGTGTTTCAGACGCTTGTTTCAAGAGTTTCATCTATCTTCTTTTGTATGTTGCAACTGTTGCATCTGGATGTTTCAAAAGTAGATCGAGTATTCCACATGGGATGCGCGTGGGATGCGGCCGACGACGCGGACGACGTTTGGGGCGGCATGGGCGATGTCTGGTGCGGCGCGGGGCCACTACTGGTGCGCTCGCGAGCCTGACCCGCTAGGCGCTCGTTCGCTCCCTGTGCGGGCAACGTTCGGACGCTAGAGCTCAGATCAGATGTTCAGGCGCTAGCAAGTCCCACATTGAGGTGACACACCGCCACCATCCTTGTTAGAGCACCATGACATCCATCCATCCCATCTAGAACACGAGCTCCATGACAATGTCCGCTACTTACATGAGCTCATGACTCACTTCCTCCGACACGGACTCGGTGCACGGACCAAGACCCATAGCGGTCCGTCAGGTCGTCAAACCGGTCCTAAGCCATGGTGGGAGAGGGCTTGGACCCAATTGGAGTAGGGAGAGGGAAGTAGTGAACCTCCTATGTGCAAGAACTCGCAGTGTAAGAAAAGTCCCACTTCATTCTCTCCCAACTCTGTCTTTTTTGTAGCACTAAGTACGACCTCAAACCCTAGCAAACACTAATCCTCTTGATTGGTGGGCTCATGACCATTGGATCCGAAGCCAAAGCGGAGGCGCCTCTGCACAAGGTCAGTGACCATCTTGACGCAATTTGAGTATAAGATTGGATCATATTTGGTCTTGTAGTGAGGAGTTTAGAGTCTATGACTTGGTTTTTGTTGATTCACCCATCTCCTCCCTTGTTAATCCCATATTTGAGCAGGCTCCCCTCTATATGGAAGTAGTTCTTTGGTAAGCTAGACAACTCTAGGAGGTGACACAAGATCATTCTCCCAAGTTCTCTAGGCTCATGTGAAGTCACGGACCGATATAGAGCAAAGGCAGCAATTTCATGGAAGGTTCGATGAGCAAACAGATGGTGGAAAGAATGGCAGAGGTCAAGGTTTCCAAGTATGTCACAATCAGAACTGGTACAATCTCAGATTCACATGGAAAGAAATTGAGGGGGAATATCCCAAAGCTATCAGGTTACTCACTAGGATATGGAGCATAGAGAAAGGTTTTATCCTAATCCAGACCAAGAGCTTAATATAGAGAACAAAGAAATTTGGCAGGGGAGGAAAGGAATGATTCCAAATCTGAACCAATTGAGAAGGATCAGGCAGTAATTCTGTACAAGTGAACTCAAACCCTGATCAGAGCATTAGAAATGGTTAAGATGAGGGAAGTGCTACAGAACAGAAAGGTAGGGCACTTACCAGAGGTTTGCCCCAATCCATCAAGGTGTGATAGATGAAGAAAGGAGGGTCATGTGTACCCAAAATTTGTACTGAGAAAATGCGATGTGAATTCATTTCCCCTTTTTTTGGCTTTTCTGCTTATGGACAAGGCTTTCACTTCATTGAAAGTTCTGCCCTGGATCAGGGCATCAAGGATATTTGTCTAATATTGCTGTCATTATAATTACTGCTGGTGAAGCCTATGTCAGGCAAATTGAAAATGAATTCAAGATTGTGGCCCTGTTTGGGGAAGCTTGTAGCTTTTTGAGCTTTCTTGAGAAGCAAAAGCTAGAAGCTCTCCCAAACAGGGTAGCTATTTAATCCCGATCCAAATCGGTCATGTCACAACAACTGACATATGGGTCCAGAGTTCATAATTATATGAGTCCCTAAATTCTCACCTGGATCCCAAATCTATTGAAGTACTGCAATCCTGGTCCAAACCAGTCCCTCCATACTCCATCCATTGTCCCCTGACTCACTAGAGAGGCCTGAAGCCATTGTTTGTTCTTGACCTCTTATCATCTACCGCCCATCTTGTCTTGGCAATCTTCATAATGCCAAGCCTGCGCCACAATTGCCCGGTTGAACAATGTTTTTTATAACATCGGTTGGACAGTGTTGTCATACGTGCGTCTCAAAGAATAGCTCCTGCATGAAGACCTGGAGCGCAACAGCTCACTCTGTGCATCGTGCATGTAACAGGGAGCTTCCAGCAAGAGCCAAACGAGATGCTGGCGCTTGGATATTGCTGACCCGGCGACAACATATAGCTCATTCTTGGTGGTGTGGCGGTTGTTGTTAGTGACTGCTTTGACATTGTCCAACAGGATTCTTCAAGCAATGGTGGAGGCAGGAAGATGCTTTGTACCTAAATTGGTTACTTTAATAGATTAGGGATACATATTTGCAGTTTCTAGTTTGTGGCCTTGGGTGAGAATCATGTACTAGTTTAATCGCCCATGTAATTATGAGTGGTTCCACGTTGGAGCACCACTGCCCATGCAATTGAGCTGCCACGTCAAATAATAGATTTGCCTGAGATTATAGGGTACTTCAATAGTTTAGGGCCTAGATACGCAATTTCTTTGTTTTGATAGCTTAGAAACCGCTAGTGTAGTTACTCTTCCTTCAAAATCTAAACACGGACCAATGTGTTATATCAAACTTTTGATAAAAAAAAGTACCTTCAAATTTACAGCATACAATCTTTAATCATCGTCAGAACTCGCTAATAACAACAATTGGAAAAATAAAGGTGAACCTAATAAGAGTTACGAAAGCAAAGCTTAATTAAATCTTTTCCGCACTACACCACATAGCACTATGATAAGTATCAGATATCATCTTCAGCAGCACTTGCAGCACTTAGATCCACGCTGAGATCAACAGTCTGAAAAAAAATGCATGAGGATTATAGCAGGAAACCAGAGAAATAGGACCAGTCGAATCACATTGGTTTAGTGTAACTAAAATGGATATAGGCTGGTCTTGACAATTGTTTTGTCCTGGAGGTTAAATGACAAAAAGTTCTTAAGAGAACAATTGTACAAATACATGTATATATATGTACCTTTCCGGTGATCTTTGTGTAAAGGGAAAGTACATCCATAACAGTTGACTCAAAGTGTGTTGTGGCATCATAACTCTGAAAAGGTAGTAAATTGAAATGGAATTAAGGATATTTGAAAATTCTACGAAAGGTGCATGTCAGAAAATGCTTACCGTTGAGATGAAACAATTGTCTGCTGATGAGTCATTGCTAGGTTCATATCTGTCATATGTGTCGATAAATAACTCATCTACTGTCCCAAGAAGATCGATCCCAGGCTTTAGTTCCTTCTCTGGATTGTCAGTTTCTGCTTGTGCTGACACGAATGCGATGAATTTGCCTTTTGATGCGACATTATGAGAGTAGGAGCAACAGAAAACATACCTGGTATGCACACATGAACATTGCTTCGCACATTAGAAACAAAAGAAATGTGAAGGTGAAACACAACCAACTAATGGATAAATTTGGGAGATGATATAAGAAATACTTGCATGTCTGATCTGCGGGCCAAGCTGCTTCTGTGGCAATATGATCTGTACTGAGTGAGATTCAGCAGTATTTGGGATGGGATGGCTCATGATAGCAATTGCCCGAAAAACTTTTCCAACTTTTTTAACCTGGCAATTTTTAACCATTAGCAGCATGTAAAATACTCAGTAATTACATTTGTTTCTGACACCTCTGAAATTTTATAAGGTTAACGGTGTTTACTCATAGACACTCTTTAAAGGGAAGGACTAAATGAATTTCTTGTCCTCGTACATCGTATAATCAGAAGGATTTGGTTTGCTTGTATTGAGTTTCGAAGAAAGTAATGGAATAATGAAACTTAAGTCGAGGATGTAAGAAATATCTTTACATAATAGATAGTACCATATTTATAATGAAAAAATGGAAGGGTTTTACCTTGTCAGGTAGGTAGGAAGGATCACAGACAACCTTTTTGCATTTTGCAGTCTCCCCTTCAGACGTAACACCACAAACTTTGCCTTCACTATCAAATTCAACCTGAATGCAGTGGCTTATGTCAGATTGTAAACCGTAAAAACACTAAAATGCAGAGAACGGTGTGGCACAAAAAACAAATTATATTAGTTCCTGCAGCAAAATTTCTACTCTCTCATGTAAATGTTGCTTAACACAGGAGCATCGTAGAACAGAAGTGCTATCTATCAAATAACTTCTTCATAAATACTTATACAACCCCCCTAAGACCATGTTAGGTTGGCTATCTCTACGAACAACTTGTTACCAGGTGGCGTCACACCCGTGAAGCAACTAGGCTGAAAAGTTAAGCTAGACTACAAAGAAGAAAATGTTCATGAAAACTTTCACAACTTATTGTGTTAGTATCAAAATATTTTGTGAAATAGATGATTTCTTCTAAAGGTTCCATTTCATCAATATATTTTTCTCGAACAGCGCAGGAGAACTGCGCGTCATTTCATTAAGGTAGAAAAATGTTACACGGGTCAAGAGACCCAACTCACACACACCACACCCTGAGCACTAAGTTACAGACTCGCCACAAAAAACTGTAGAAGCGACCAAATGCCTCCGAGCTTTAAGCTCCAGTAGGCAGCGACCTGAGAACAAGCTCATGGAGTTTGGAGGCTCCAGTCGAGCACCAGAGACCTCCCTCGGAGCTAACAGCCCTAATGACTTCCGGAACACTTGGTCTCTTGTTGTCAAAGACACAAGAGTTGCGATGCTTCCAGATTTCCCATGCCACCAAAATTATCAAGGAGTTGAGTCCTTTACGCACTTCCTTGGGGACAGCTGCAATCGATCTCTTCCACCACCCTGAGAAAAGACACAGTAGGCTGTGGTGCCAAGTGCAGCAGCCCCAACTGTTGCAAAATCTGAGTCCAAACTTGTCGAGCGAAGACATAGCCTACTAGCAAATGGTTTATTATTTCGTCCACTTGATCACATAGGGGGCAGGACTCTGGTTGAGGCAGATTCCTCCTTGCTAGGCGATCGGCTATCCAAACCCGGTTAAGAACCACTAACCAGATGAAAAACTTATAGCGCGGGGGAGCCCAGGTTTTTCAAATTCTTCTCCATGGACCGAACTTGATGGAGCCCACAAAAAAGGCCGCATAGGCAGACTTGCTGCTATAAGAACCATCCTGCGTTTGTTGAGTAATTTGCTGCTCCCCTGTGTGAACGTGCGGCAGGGGGCAGGCGCCGAAAGGGCTCCCTGCTGCTGCACTATAGCCGCTGCAGGGCAGGCGTCGAAAGGCTCCCCTGTTGCACTGTAGCCACAGCAGGGGCAGGCGCCAAAGGCAGCCCTGCTGTCACATCTAGTCACTGTAGCAACATGGCAGCCTGACATGTCTGTGCACTAGGATTAGATTAGTAGAGTTGTATATATAGTTTCCCACTACAACTCAGTAAAGAGAGCGAGTTCAGTTTTGCCGTCTCCTCTGCAGAGCTTCGGCCAACGTTGGTGCTTAATCCGTGTGTGTGTGCGCTCTGTTCTCCCTCCCTTCTTCTACCTCTAGCCATAGTGTGTGGTCGACAACGCTGGTGAGTGGTCGGCTCACCCGTGCTGGAGATCCAAGGGGCCAACAAGTGGTATCAGAGTCGTACAAGCACCGTCGCCGGGCTAAACGCTGGCGATGACGGACGATTTGGAGATGGGCGATAGCAGCGGCGCTACTGTGTCTGCTCAGCCATGATAGGAGGTCGTTGTGCGCATGGTGCGGGAGGTCAGCGGCACCAGTTGGCCGACGCTGACTCACACCAACTATGGCGAGTGGGCGGTGACCATGAAGGTCAAGCTCAGAGCCCGACAGCTTTAGAATGCTGTTGACAAGGGCACCGACAACGAAGAAGACGACATGTCAGTGTTGGAAGCCATCCTCACTGCTGTGCCAGTGGAGTACATGGAGCCGTTGGGGGCGAAGAGCTCTGCTAAGGAGGCGTGGGAGGCCATTGCGGCGATGCGCGTCGGTTTCGACCGCGCAAAGAAGGCGATGACCCAGCTGCTGAAGCAGGAGTACGGCAACCTTAAGTTCAAGGATGGTGAATCGGTGGAGGACTTCTCCCTCCGCTTGCAGACGCTCATCAGCAAGCTAAGGAGCCATGACATCACCATCGACGAAGAAGAGACGGTCTCCAAGTACCTCCACTCCATGCCGGCGAAGTACATCCATATTGCTCTCTCTATAGAGACGATGCTGGACTTGTCCACGCTCACCATTGAGGATGTGACAGGCCGTCTGCGGGCGGTGGACGAGCGCATGGAGCAGGCCACAGCAACGACAGACAATGGCAAGCTGCTGCTGACAGAGGAGGAGTGGGCTGCCCGGAGGAACTCCGGGGAAGCCTCCTCCAGCCGCGGTGGTGATGGCAAGCGCCGCGGCAAGGCTTCTTCGGAGAAGAAGAAGAAGAAGGTTGACCCCAATGCCTACCGGCGTTGCGGGAAGACGGGCCATTGGGCAAAGGAGTGCCCAAATCATAAGCAGAAGAAGAAGGCTGAGGCTCATCTGGTGTAGGCTGATGATGAGGCCACTCTCTTGATGGTGATGTTCTGTGCACTGCACGACGTTGAGGCCAAGGAGGAGGGAGAGGTGATGGCGGTGAAAGGGCCTGTGAAGGCTCTAAAAACTATCAACCTCGACGAACCGCGCGCCCAAGTCCACCTCGGACGTGTGGGCGGTGAGCAGGAGCAGCGGCTTCTTGCCAAGATGAAGAGGTCCCGGAACCGGCTGTACCTGCTCGACCTCAAGGTGGAGCAGCCCATCTGCTTGGCTGCACGGCGCACGGAGGAGCTATGGCTGTGGCATGCCCGGTATGGACATCTCAGCTTCGACGCTCTTGGTCGGCTGGAGAAGATGGTGACTGGGCTGCCTCACATCGAGCACGCAAGTGAGCTGTGTGACAGCTGCCTAGCCGGGAAGCAAAGAAGCCTGTCGTTCCCGAAGATGACGAAGTACCGTGCGGCAGAGACCCTCGAGCTGGTCCATGGTGACCTCTATGGACCGATCACGCCGGCGACGCCTGGCGGGTGCAAGTACTTCATCTTACTGGTGGATGACTATAGCCGATACATGTGACTGCAGCTTCTGACCAGCAAGACTGAAGCGGCGGAGACGATCAAGAAGTTCAAGGCACGCGCGGAGGCGGAGAGTGGCAAGAAGCTGAGCATGCTGCGGACTGATCGCGGCGGCGAATTCACTTCGGTAGAGTTCGTTGCATACTGCGCGGATTAGGGTGTGGTGCGACACCACACCGCGCCGTACTCGTCACAACAGAATGGCATGATGGAGCGGCGGAACCAGACGGTGGTCGGCATGGCTCGATCCATGTTGAAGGCCAAGAGCATGCCGGCAAGGTTCTGGGGTGAGGTGGTGACCACGGCGGTGTTCATCCTCAACCGCACGCCCACCAAGGCCCTAAAGGCAAGACACTGTTCGAGGCTTGGCATGGACGTAAGACGAATGTGTCCTTCCTTAGGACATTTGGCTACGTCGGCCATGTCAAGAACACCAAGCCTCACCTCGGCAAGCTAGAAGATAGGAGCACACTGATGGTGCTCCTAGGCTACGCGGAAGGTACCAAGGCGTACCGGCTCTATGACCCACGTGGAGGCAAGGTGTTTGTCTCGCGCAACGTCGTGTTCGACGAGAAGGCGGCCTAGGACTGGGATAGTCTGGGCATGGGGGAAGCTGGCGGCTTCACCAGCACCTTCGTTGTCGAGCACTTGGTCATCCATGGTGGTGGAGACGCTAGAGAGAAGGTGCCGACCACTCCAGCAACAGAGCCGAGCACTCCTGGGGTAGTGCCAAGCATTCCAGGAGTGGTGCCGACCACTCCAGGACGGGTGCCGAACGCTCCCGTAGCGGAGCCGAGAGGTCTTGCAGTGGTACCAACCACTCCAAGACTGGTGCTGAGCACTCCTATAGTGGTGTCGACCACTCCAGGAGTGGTGATGAGCAGTCCAGGAGTAGTACCGAGCACTGCAGCAGGGGTGCCGAGCACTCCAGGTACTGTGTCGACCACTCCGATGGAACAGGGAAGTCCATCGACACCGATCGAGTTCGCATCACCTCCAAGCAACATCACTGAGTTCGTGGATGCCTTCCACAACATCATCGGTGACACAAGGCCCTCAGGCCTGGCGGGTCAGCTGCTCAATGACCCAGAGCTGCTTCTCATCAGTATAGAGGAACCACCCACGTTCGCGCTGGCTGAGCGCGATGCAAATTGGCAATGGGCGATGCTGGAGGAGATGAAGGTGATAGAGGAAAACAAGACTTGGGAGCTCATCGATCCACCTCTAGGATGCCGTCCGATCGGCCTGAAGTGGGTGTACAAGGTCAAGCAAGACGAGCGCGGCGCCATTGATAAGCACAAGGCGCGCCTTGTCGCTCGAGGCTTTGTCCAGTGTGAGGGCATCAACTTCGAGGAATTCTTTGCGCCGGTAGCGCGCATGGAGTCTGTCCGACTGCTGCTGGCTTTGGCAACAGCGAAGGACTGGCGCGTCCATCACCTGGACGTAAAATCGGCCTTCCTCAACGGAGACGGTTTTCGTCAGACAACCTCCGGGTTTCGCCGTCAAGGGAGCAGAGCACATGGTACTCCGACTACGCAAGGCGCTCTACCTTGTTGCGGTAGGCCTCACGAGCGTGGAACGCCAAGCTTGATGCCACGCTGGGCGAGCTTGGGTTCACGCGGTGCGCAACCGAGCACACGCTCTACACGCGATGACGGGGAAGGAGCTCGTCGTCGGCGTGTATGTGTATGACTTGATCGTCACCGGCGTGCGTGCGGAGGACATCGACAGCTTCAAGCATGAGATGGTGGCTCATTTTTGAATGAGCGATCTCGGCGCGCTCTCCTACTACCTCGGCATCGAGGTGAGACAGGGGAAGGTGGCGCTCATGCTCAGTCAAAGCACGTACGCCTTGAAGCTGTTGGAGCAGAGTGGCATGGCTGAGTGCAAGCCGTGCATGACTCTGATGGAGAAGCGATTGAAGCTGACGAAGGCCAGTACCGCA